TTTAAGTTGCAGCAGGGGCTTGTGTTGTCATAGAAACAGCTGCAGTAGAAAAAGGTTAGACTGTTGTTGAACTTGGTAGGATGTATAGAGCAACAAGAGTCGTCATTATGTGAGATATCACCAGCACAAGCAGAGAGGGGATTGTTGCTCCTTTTGTTTGCTTGAAAAGCAAGGCTTTACAAATTAATGTGCGTGGATGACTGTAATTTCCCTTCCTCCTGTGTGAAAATACAGGAGAATATGGTGAGGCTCACAGACAATGCAGAGCCAAGGCAATATACCATCACAGGTGCAGGGCTTTGGCTGAATTCCTGCATGGTAATAAAATTCGATGATAGAATTTTGTTTTCAGATCTCAAAATTGCACAACAAATCATATCTTCTTGCCTTGAATCCTGACTGGCCCACATGCAGTAAAGCTAAGGCACAGGGTGATGTCTCTTTACTTGAGGAATGAACATTAGCATTCACACCAACTGGTGAGCCCACGGAGCATCCCCAATACGGTTTACAATCTCTAAAAGATTAGGCACTTTGTGACAAGCGTTTATACTTCAATTCAATTTTACAAAAATGCAACAGTGTGAGATCTGTGATGAGACAAGTGATTTAACACACTACATTACTGTCTAGCATGTTTATCCAGGTGTTATAGTCCATATTTTGATCATAACAATGTATCAGATAATTATGTGCATGTGAAAGGTGATGCCTGACGAACCCACAGAGAATTAATGCTCAATCTGTTTACCTTCAGGTCTATGAATTGTGTTAATGTCTTTCAGCTCTGTTTATGTTTTACAGCCTACAGTTTCGCCATTTTGATTTACTCTCACCACTTCATCAGTATTATTTTCAGTTAATCTAAGAGGAGCATTTCACTGCTAAAGAAGTCAATAGCCCTCAAGGACCAAGGAGGGCTAAAAGGAGAATGAATATTGGACTTACATTTGTAGGGGTGCTGCTACCTCTAAATTGTACTTAAGTAACATACTTGAGTAAATGTACTTAGTTACTTTAGTGGTTACTTAACCACAGTGTAATACATGAAAGTCACAAGCTGGAGCTATAGTTCAACATGCTTTACAAGTGGCTGACAAGCTAATAAAATGAATAAGACAGTAAAATAAATTATTATATGCATAAAAATGCTGAAAAAGAATTAAAACAGGCAGTGACAAAATACTTCTCATTAATGACCACTTGACCAGAGTTGGGGGACATTTTTTTCTTTTGTAAATCATGGTAACAGCACTCAATTCACAGCAACACTACACGCATAACCTAGAATAAAAAACAATTAAACTTTAAAACATCACACAGTATAGGTGCAGCATAACAAGAACTTCCTCTGTATTTTTCTGTCTGAGTCACCATTTGGACTTGTTGTTCATAGCTGAAATACAACAACTTCAAGGAGTACTTAAGATAGTTTCACCAAAAGCCATTTTAGTCATGATATCAAAGTGGAATCCAGAGCTTGATTAGGCCCTGAAACACAATCCGCTGTGCAATGTATTCAGATGAGATGAGACACAAATGGGCCAGGTCTGAATTGTGGACAATGTGATTGCTGTGAGATAGGCAGCAGGGAGAGTGTGCAGCATAACGTAGGAGATAAGGTGAAGAGTGCAATCTGACCAGAGGCGAGCGGTTTGCACTCAACACAGCTGAAAGTGAATGGCTGATCTGTGTTCCCACACACATACACCTTGTTAAAAACCCCTGGCTCTTTGTCTTCAAAGACTTTCCAAACTCAGGAACCAAAAGGCCTTTTGAAGCCATGTCTCCTGATGTTCCAAAGGGACAGCTGAGTGCCAAAAAAACAAAAACAAAAAACCCTTAACTTGCAGATCCACCTGCAGGGATTATGCTCTTCAGAGGTGGGGAAACCATACACGTCAGATATCTGGTATTAGTTTTTATTGGGTTATTTGACTTTGTAGATGCAAACAACATCAGTTTGCCTTCACTGGGTCTCCTGTCATATCTCCAGCTGCAAGAAATTTAAAAAAATGGGTATCAAACTTCCTCTACAAGGATGGACAGTTTGGTTTGTTTGAACCCCTTACATTCATTAACTTCATAAAAATTCTGTCAAGAAAGTCTAAGTTGTGTTACAACAGTGGTCCAATTATTAGGAAAGTCACACAATATGTTCTACATCTATGAGCAGTATAGCTATTACATGGCCATAACCAGCAGCTAGATCATAAATTTGCTTCGCTATCAAACATGAGAAACCTTATACACACCAGTGGCCCACTATGTCTGACTGGTCTGGATTATGAAGATAGCCAATAAAAACACCTGACACCTTATAAAAGTCCTGAGATATACAGTAGTGTTCTGATGTCATCTACAAGACAGGACACCAAAAGTATGTGATTGGGGCAGTGTACCAGATCAAATCCAATATCATTTGGAGCAATGCATGTAACAAGAGGTTCTAGGGAAGGCAATTGATAAGGGGATTACTTGACAGATGCTTTTTGGAGGACCAATTGCCCATTTGGCGAAGTCAGAGGGATTTGAAAGTACGACATAGCTCCTGATTCTGGTCTGCACAAACACATACAGCCATGGCTGTGCAAACACACAAATATGCTGTATCTGTATGCACCAGCTTTTGCCTCATATTGCAGAGAAGAGCAGAGATTCCCCCAGAAATCTCTCAGCAGGGACCTATATCAAAGGCTTAGAGGAACAGCTCGTCTGCAGCAGTGAAGGATCACACCTCTGGGAATTCTCCCCACAAACATGTACCCAGAAAGAAATTGGTTTATTGTCAACGTGTGTTTGATTTGACTTATAATTACACCCAATAAGGAGAAAATAATGCAATCTGCAGCGCTTAAGGTATCATAGTTTTAACAAGCTGATTCCCCTTTAAGAGTGAAGATAAGATGTAAATGATAAGCAGAAAATGGGGAAAACTGATGAAGGCTCACCTGTGTTTAAAGAGCACCGAGATATAATAGAAGTATTTGTTTTATGCTGTCATCTTCTATTTCCCAGCATGTTCATTGTACTGTATCATAACACATTAGCAGGCATATGGTAAATAAATGAGGCAAACATAAAAACACAGATTAGGTGTGGGCAGAAAGCCAAATAGTGGTAGATTATAATGGCATTACAACCTGGTGAGACACAAGTACACACAGCAGGATTGAGGTGTCTGTGCGATGATGGGACTTACATTGAGTCACCCAGAGGCTGCGCAGAGGGCCGAGGATCATAACAACTGCTGCTCAGAAAAGATGGCAGCCTCAGTGAGTCACCTCCCACTGGTTTTGACATTGGTCAGACAGACTTTTCACTGGCTACTATCTGTATTTATAGTACAGTTGAAGGTGGAAGTTGGTGGTGTTTGTTCTCCCTTATTGTAAGCCACAGAGTTTAATGAGGAAATGTTCTATTAGGTTTCTGTCAAGAACATGGCAATTGTGTTTCAGTGGCCCACCAACATTTCATTCCTAATGTGATTATAAGAACATTATGTTATGGGTCACAAGAACACATTCATCTTATTTTGATACTTGCACTAAGGTCATATGGAGATTAATACTGCAATTACGAGATATGCTATTAGTCAAGTTGTTGGAGGCTTATTTACACACTTTAATCCAGGTAAAGTTGTTCACCAGTGAAGTTAAAACATGTGCAGAATATGCCTAGGATAATTTTTCATAGGCACTACATGTGGTGATATCCAGTCTACATGAAACAAAAAGACATTTAGGTTGTAAGAAAGCAACATCTATAATACAAAAGGGAAATATATAGGAAATACACTTTTGATTTCTTGCTTGATACCACTCTCATATCTGTCCTCTCAGTTTTAAGCTACAGCCAGCACCTAATTAGCCTAGAGTGGAAACAAGGGGGCACAGCTAGTTTAGTTTTGTTCGAAAATAACAAAACTCACTGTGCAGGCACCACACTCAGCCATAATAATAATTAGGGGTGAGCCGATCCGATATTAAGTATCGATATTAGTCCGATATTGGCCAAAATCTGTGGATCGGATATCGCAAAGAGAGGGGCATATAATCCGATCCGATACACTACGGAGAATTTGTTTTGAACTATCATATGACTGCTTTACGAGACATGAGCGACGTGTTGTAAAGCGAGACATCACATGAACAGTAGCTTCAACGTGATCGACAGGCATGAGTGAGACCGATCAGCGTTACCATGTCGGCTGTGTGGAGTTATTTTAAACTCAGCGAAGAGGACAAAAGCAAAGCTGAATGCAGTTTATGCAACGTGAGGATTTCGAGGGGTGGCAGCAGCGCTGGAAACTTTAACACCACCAACTTGATTAAACACTTGCAAAAACATCATGGAAAGCAGTATGCTGAATTTATACACGCAACTAATGCCAAGAAGCGTGTCCCGCAGCAACAAACATTGCAGGAAACAATTCAGAAGCGTGAGAAACTCACCCCAGACAGGTCAACTGACATTTTAATTTATGGTTATATCCAGTGTTTGATGCTGGAATTATTATTCTTTCAAACCTAAGTATTTAGAGAATAACAAACGTTTACACAAAGGTGCACCTAAAATTTTACTTGAATGTTTGAATTGTGCTGACTAGTCAAAAGTGCTGCTAAAAGTTCTCTGTTTGAAGAATTGAAATAAAAATTAAGCAGCAGTGTTGCACAACTCATGGTTGTGGGCGATGTATTTCTTCCTTTAGGAGAGTAGAATATTTGACAAATGTGTTACTAAGCAATTGTTTAACAGAGGGGAAAAATATCATTTTGGATCGGTATCGGCAGATACTCAAAATTGGGGTATCGGTATCGGTATCGGACATGGAAAAGTGGTATCGTGCCACCCCTAGTAATAATAATAATTCTATTCTTTAATTCATTTTCCCATTTTTGTAGTTTTTATGCTAAACTAAGCTAACCAGCTGTTGGGTGCAGCTTCATATTTAATAAACAGATATGACAGTAGCATCATTCTTCTCATCTAACATCACCAAGAATTTAAATAAGCTTATTTCCCAAAATGCCAAACTACTGCAATAACTAACATGACTAGAAGGAATTCTATTTACTAGGTCATGCAGACCTGTACAGAATATTTGAATTAGCCTAGTGCACCATGACCAGTAAATCTAAAGCAGCAGTAAACTGTGCAGTGTGCCCAATGCTGACCTAACTCATTCCTGAAACTGCATGGGGGACACCTAGTTCATTCTGTCGAGCTTTCTCATCCAAGTAAATTTGACATCATGGCTGTTTCACCCCTTTTGCCCCTTTCAAACTGAATTTCAAAGAGTTCTTGGAGACAGCAGTAGTCTCAGTGTCAGTCGATCACATTTCCTCCTTAATTTAAAGGCGGGGTAGATGCTTTCCGATTAAGACATGAATAATAAGTAGGCCTGTAGGTCTCCTTGTGGGTGGGAGTTGCCCTTTTTAATCCACTATCAATCCATGTATTTTAAGGAAACTGCTTCTCCATAGTAAAAAATAAATACATAAATAAATAAAACAGCCTCAGACACATGACACTGTTGTTCCAGACTTAATAAACAACTATTTCAGGTTGTGTTACAGAGGGATGCTCCAGTGTGCTGTGGGGCACAGAAAAATACTGTCAATGTAAAGCCGTTAATATACACAAAATGGTTGAGCTTATCATGCCGGTGTGTCTCAAATAACATTTTTCATATGATATGTGATCTAATGGTTCACTTTCTGCTATCAGATTAAGTGGCACCCCCGTATTTCAACGTGATTACTTCCGTATCACTTGCTCAGATTAGAAGCCTTGATGTGATCTGAACTGCAATTTGCAAAGGAATTACAAATTATAATAATTTTCTTCATGGTGTTGAATTAAAAAAAAGAAAATTCAAAAATTAAATGAGGGACAAGGTTGATGAATACACTGCTGCAGGCAGAGGTGCAATGGATCAATTTATAAGCTAGGGATTACACAGATCGCAGATATTTGGCTCATTCATCACATAATATTCAGCATAGCATTAATGCTACATATGAAACCACAATTAATAATTCAGTGGGCTGTCTACCTCAATAAAGGACTTATGATCTTACATCCAGTTAATGGGAGTGTTGCTCTAATGCATAATGACTGTCAAGGTGTTGTGTCTCCACCTAAAGGTAACCCCAGGAACTGAATGAAAGCCTTGTGACAAAATGTTGAACTGATAGGCAGGATAATCATATAAACACTGAGCAGTATTTTAATGAGATCCAATTATAAATCTCTGTTGCATTCGGTTGTACATCAGGTAAAATTGGACATGATCAGGCTTGTGAAATTCAAAAGCTATATTGCATGCATCCAATTACACCATCATATCTGTACAATTTCTAATAAAAAAATAGCAGATTGAGTATAATTCACATGAATTCAGTTGTGTATTATACATTGTAAATAGAGTTGTATTATTCATCTTTCACAATAGATCAGCATAATGCTGACACAAATGAACAATCATTTACTTTTGCTTCTGTACAAACTTTTAAAAATGGCTAAAAATATTAAACACAGTGACACACACTGGGGCAAAAATTTAAATGAATTCAGAAAGTTTTTCCTTTACTTTCTCCTCGATGTTTGCATAGTATTTCATTTGGGTAAGCAGTGCTTTGGCAGCTTGAAGCTCTCCTGATAGTTAGAAAAAGAAAAGTGCAAAAAGAAGTTCAATCAATGACAGTCAGCAAATACGAGGAAAGCATCAGCATAGATAACAAAACCAAGGAATGAGTAAGAGGAAGAGAGAATGGCTCAGTGCAACATCTGAATATAATACCTTTATGAAGGGCAGCATCTATCTGCTCTGTCAAGGCTGTCAGTTTCCCTGCAAGTGAGGAGGAGATAAGTTTCTGTTCTGCATGTGTTAACATGACATGGCACATATGGTGATCGTCCTACTGAGAAACACAAAAGCACACTCGGAGTATCTGCTTGATTTGAGGTAAAACAACGCATTAGAAAAATCAAAGAAACCTTTGTGCTAAGGCAGTTTGATGTGTATAGTATATAAAGGGAGGTCATTTCTGGCATTGTGTAAATCAGTGCTTACAGACCGGGCTGTCCTGAAATAATATATCATTACTGATTCTGCATAAACCACTGAGTGGATTCACATTCTCTGATACTCTTCACTGTGGATCCGCCACCTCCACCTTGGATTCACACTGCTTTATGAACACCCACAACCTGAGCTTGCTTGTTTGCACTGTACAGAGATATACTAGCTGCTCTTCTGACAAAGTAGCCGCTCAAGGACTGTTGGCTGCAATACTAAACCGTACTTGTTGTTACTATGGTAACAACAGGTGTCACCAAATCAGCCAGAGCTGAAATCTTAAGGATTATAAATTTAACCTCTGAAATAAAGCAAGTCTCAGCCAGTAAGCAGGTCAGACAAAAAAAAGCCATTTTCATTTCTTGTATTGTTTCATTTTGACCATAGGTTGGCCTGGAGAGGTCAACCTATTCATAAAACTTCTGGAACATGCGTCAGCACCAACTGACCACATGCTCATCACCCTGTGCTAGGCTATGAGCAGCAAAGAGCACTCAACCAGTTCACTTTCACTCAGTGAAGTGAACAGATGCATGTGCCTACCTTTTGTGTCTTGGCCAATTTTACTGGCTTCTTCTGGAGTCTGTGCTTCATCAAGAGCTTCATTGATCTCCATCAGCATCATTAGAAGCTCTGAATCAACACCAGAGTCGGAGCCCTCTTCCACGTGTATCCCCTCCAGCTTCAGCTGAAACACAGGGGAGGAGTTCACCAAACTCAGCTGCTTCTTAAATGCATTTCACTACTCTTGATGATATTTCTCTTGAACAAGCAATTGAACACACACAGCTTGCAGTTATAAAAATAAACTGACGTTAGGTCAGGGACTTCAAACTTACCATATAAACTCCACGACTCAAAGGCTTAAGCAAAGTCTTGTATGCTTTGTTCACATGAGCAGACTGGCTTTCTGAATACTCCCGCTCTTTCTGCAAAAGAAGGTTGTGTTCAGTTTGCTTTTACTTATGACAAGTTCATTCACTTTTATTCATTCATTGATATTATTCATCATTGAAACAGGATAATAATCTATATTATCGTGTTATCATGATTTTGACTAACATATTGTGCATATGGAACAACAAGCATTCACATTATCCAGAGCTTCACATCAAAATGTCACAAAAGGGGATAACATCGGAGGTAATTTTACACCTTGCCATCCCAATCTATATCTGTCAATTTTTTTAAAGCCAAATCTTCAGCGATACTGTCAAGTTTGGTGTACTACATAAAGCTACTCTTTTGTAGTCGAGCAGTTTGGGACCCTTCAAGGAAAGCAGGTGTAAGTTTGACACAACAGATGTGTGAAAACAAGATGAGGAGGAAAATGTCTTGGAAATGGTTGGCAGATTCAAGCACATTTTGCAGCCATCAGGTCTGTCAGCTCTGGTAAAAATCAATAGTCTCGAGCTGTGGCCCATGGGCCCGCTGCGGAGCTGTTTCTGTAACAACAACCATTGCAGTAGGTGTCTGCTTTGTAGCATTGTATAAGTAATGAGTTTTCCATATATGAGGCTTTCCCCTGAGGCTAGAAGATGTCTAATTAAGAAAAAATGGCCAGAGGTGGTGATAAATAAAACAGAGTCAGTACAATATTGGACAGGCTGTGCATGAAGAAACCATTTAGGTTACCTCTCCTCTCTCACATTCTGCTGAATATGCATTTAGTTTTCATATCACATCATGACAACATTCTGCATTGTTCTTTTCTGCCTGAGTGTACACTATAAATTGCATGTGAAGCAACACGCCTCCGCCTCCCTTGTATTCATAAAGCTTATTCTTCTTACCTGTCATAAATTTTTTTTTAATGATTCAGAAGGGGGAACCAGGATAATATGAACATTTGGTGAATAACCTATAATCACATTCAACTTTAAACAGCTCAGATGCATTGGGAAAAGACATTTCATTTTGTGACATTTTTAAAGCTGCGCTAGTTGAGATTTTTATGTAAAATATAGGCCTTCCTGTCTCATCAGCCTCACTTCGCTCTGGGCTGAGTGTGATTTACTCAAAGCTATTTTCCCACACAAAAATCAGGTGTTAGAAAAGTACACTTGTGTGCCTAGAGGAAATGATACATCAAAAGTGAAGAGGAAGAAAAGACCAAATTTAATTTGTATACAGCTGTGAGAGAGTGCGCCATTCAAAGCCAAGTGAACAAACCACAATTAGATCTCTTTTCCTGTCTTTCCCGTTTACTCTCCTACAGTAGAGTCCATCACCAGGAGCTTGCTGTGTGCATTTTATTGAGGGCATTCTATGTAGTTTCTTAAAGGGGCTCTCAAAGCAGCAACGGTTGAGACACCCTGATTTTAAGTCCCTGTGGGTCAAACTCTCAAAACAATGCATCCTATTTCCCATAATGCGACTTGACAGAGCTTGTCATTAGACTCTCCCTGCTAGCTAAACACCCATGTCATTAAACTCCACTCCCCAGTTTGTAACAAAGGGTTTCTGATATAAATATGTAGTTGTGTAATCCCAGTTAAATCACTATGACATAATTAATAGTGGCTATCCAGAGCCATAGAAGACATTATACAGCAGCCCTCACTGTACTCCTCACAGCTTGTAACTGTAAAATCAGTGGAGTGCCACCTCTGAAATCATGGCTCAGCTGTCTTCTTCTGTAAGCCGGAGTCAATACCATGCAAAGTTGCTGTGTGCAGATGTAAGACATTTTATTTTTATTGTTTACACACAGGGCAGAAACTAAAACACCAAGTGCTGTCCACAGATATCCACCGTATATTTGATGCAACCTGAAATAATTACTGAACTAACTGACTTGTTAATTGACATAAATTGACTATTTTGATAATCATCTCAGTCATTTTTCAAACAAAATGGCCAAATATTCATTGGTTCTAGATTCTAAAATGTGAGGATTTGGGATTTTTCTTTGCTCTGATAGTAAATTACATATCTTTGGCTTTTGGATGACTGGATAAAAAACATGCAATTATGTTGTCACTTCTGTTGCATTCCCATTGGCTTACTGTTTGCAAAGAAAATCATTAATTGATTAATATCAAAAATTGTCTGATTTTTGGGTTTCTTATGGTATTAACATTCACTTATATAACCTTTACTTAGGTTTTAATGACTTTTACGTCCTTAAAACTTAGCATTCACTTTGTTTTGCAAATGTTATTTGTCCCACTCCTTTGGCAAGTCATGCATGTGACCATGTGGTTTTATACTGCTTATATCTCTATTCAACTTTATTCTTTATTATTAAAATGCAGTATGTTTATTCTTGTTTCTTTTCCTTCCTTTTAGATTGAAAAGTTGCAGTGCAGTGTTGTGTAACAGGCCTTTTCACAACAGACATCTTGACATCTCACAGCTGGTAAAGCAGAGATGCAAGTAATAACAAAGTCTTAGCTAAACCATTTCCAAGTTCCTGTATTACACATGCTGGCTTATTGGAAATGCCTCCTGGGATACGTAATGGAACTGAGCCATCCTTGACATCATTTGATATCCCTGTGCTTTTCTTGATAGTCAAAATATCATTGATCTTACTATAAAATGTAAAAGTTCAAGCTCTTTGTACTTGACCCTTACATTTCTACCATGTTTCCATTTTTGTAAGGCTTCCACTTCTGTCTGAAAGCAGTGCTCTTTTGTCTTCAGTTATTTAATTGATTCCCTGAACATGCACTTACATTGTTTAATTGGCAGTTTAATAGGGAAAGTTGCCTTATTAGGGCCAGAAATTTTCATTGTCTTTTAACAAATATATCCTTCAACTTTTCCCAGAGTTGCTGAAATGACCACTTCACAAAGAATCACACTAACAAAACAAAAATGCACAGTCAAGTGGGTAAATAGGGATAAAGGGTCAAACCCAATATTTTTTTATGTGGCACAGCTACTAATAAATAGGAAAGCATCCACCGACTCATGCAGCATCTCTCTTTGCTATTCTCTAATGAGATTCCCCTTACATCCCCCTGCTTTACCACAGATTTCTGGCCGAAGTTGTCTGGGTGTAGTGACCTCTGGAGCTGCAAGTATCGTTTCTGCAGCCTTTGTGTGTCCAGTGTGAATGTGTAGTCACTGAAAAGAGGCAACACGTGATAACATGAAATATTTGGCTCACAGACAGACATAATCCATAAAATATTTATGTAAATAATAGCTCATTAGAAAGAAAAGGCACTCACCAATCCATGATCGTGAAGTAGGACGCCCCTTCATCGGGAGGCTGGACTACATTACAAAACATACAGAAGAACGTGGGAGTTTTGTCTAGAGGTCGTTTGCAGTTCCAGCAGTTCAGTCTGACTTGGCCTGTACAATAATTCCTTGGTGAACTGACTTGCTTAGTGTCGTAAAATAGCTCCCGTCCCTTTCTCAATGCTCTGAAATTTATGCTGCTGTGCCATACGTCCCTGTTGGGGAAGCGGGTGGACATCCAGTGTACCAAACATGGAACAGAATCAGAAACAGACAGTGGGCTCGTCATCAGCCAATTGAGATGCAGCACATCCCGGGATGAGCGCACAATCCGCAAAGCCCTCAGTGACATTTCCGACATTAAAATACAGTATTTAGTGCTGCTGTACAGTCAACCAAAACACGTGATCTTCTGTCAAAACATTAACATCCCTTTTGGTGAAGGAGAGGAAGAGTTCTTCTTCTTCTACGTCTGAAAAAACGCATCACACTGCCACCGCTCGGCTTGGCGGTGAAAGCAGATAACTGCCTATCATAGAGGTGCTAGAAAAAACAACCACAGTTAGCAAGCTGGGCTGTTAGCAGCAAACATAATTTGGTAGGAACTATTTATATGAAAGTATCACTGGATTTAATCGCAGCATATTAATTACAATAAGTGGCACACCCTAGTAGTGCACTGCATGTTAGTAATAATGTTACTACACCGGCGTAATAACTTCGGCATTTGCTCGGATGTAAACTTCCGATGACAAGAAGCCGGTGGTAAATATGTAGCTAACTTAGCTCACTAGCTTATTGCATTCTAGCTTAGTTTGCTAACGTGTTATAAATGCAAAAATTGTACTTGTTGGGTTCGGTGCTGATAAGTAGCTTGTCGTCAGATGCCCATGTGCTTGCACAACGATAATGTGTTACATTACCTAATAGTAACTCCTTGTGTGAACTTTATGTCGAGAAGCTGGCCCAGCTACCGCTACCCAGCCAAAAGATACACCATGCTAACGTTACGAGCGGTGAGATAGCGTTACATACATCTACAGTAATATTAATATGTATCATGCAACACAAACCACGGGCTACCTTCATAGATCACACAGTACACCATAGCCTTTAAAGGCACACGTTGTATTGTTGTTTAAACGTAACTTGGATCAGTGTGCAAGTACATTTCTTTATGCTTTTTGCTTAAGTACATCTGTCTAAGTAAGCTAGAAAACGAACGGGACCATATTGCCATCTCCCTATGTGTTTTTTCAGATCTCCTATTAAAACCCATGGCGACGAGAGGGGCAGTGGTCCATGAAGAGTTTTCCATACACAGAGAGTGGCTGGTCCACCAGGGATATCATCAGGCACTGGAGCACAGATAACACCCCCAAACTGGTATTTATTTAAAGAGTGTACTTTTTTACTGCATCCACCCCAGCACTGGGATAGCTGTTTCTCTGAACTGGGACCAGTCAAAATATGCTTATTTGGCCAATGATCACAGTAGGTTTCTTGAATCTGTGCTTTTACAGTTTCCTAACAAAGTACTAGCTGTGATGAATGCCAACTCTTGACTCTTATTGTGTATCTGTAAATGGGTGTTTGGGGATGCAAATGGCGACAGTAGAGTATTCCAGAGAGACACTAGTTGGAGACAGCAGCGTCTTTAAGGTAAACAGGATCTCCTCCGAAAGGTTCAGGGAGGTACTTGTCAAGGCCCCCACAGACAATACTCTGGGTATTATTAACGGAAATGGCTAAGAATAGAGAGCAGGGGAGCAAGGTGGCTCCTCTGGCGACTGTGTTGTTTGGATTAAACAAGCCAAAACGGAACATCATCTTTAGAAGAGTGACTTCTCAAGCTTGCTTGCTGGGTGTGTCGCACACGCACAAGGCTAGAGGTTGATTTGGAGGGCTTTGTCTGGTGCTGATGTATAGCAGTGGTGAAGTAGTATTTGCAGATTGCTCTAGACTGTTTATACGTGGAGTTGTTGCACTTCACAGTTTGGATTTGTAAGTAGATCAAATTTTCCAGTGCATTAAGAGCATTTTTATCTATTCTTATACACTAATTATGTTGTTAATGTGCACTTTTTTGTTTGCTTGTATTTCATACCAACAACTGGGTGTATCTTAACTAGATCTCGCTGCCTGTGCATCAGGTTTAGATGGGATTTTGTGGTTGCATGGATGCATAAATATTTATTCCTAAATATATACTGATAAAATCCTCTATCACGGTATACTTATGTCAAATTTAATACCTAACAAATCAAGGCAATTTATTACATTGAGACAAAAAAACATGTCAAAATTCAGTTGACCATGAAGCAGCTCTTTTCATTATTTTGTACCATAAATCATTTGTTACAGTATATCCAGTAATGTTAGAGGGATAGATGTACTAATGGTATAGACAGTATCGCAGAATCTTTGATGCTAGACAAATTTATACTGTCTTATAGTTTATTATCATTGCATGTGCTGCCTCTACTCCTAATTAATAGTGAGACATAAATGCACTGCTCTGGATTAGTGTCACATTCAGGACTATTACTGGGGCACAGGTAATCTAATGTACTGTGTCTTCATCACTATTTGTGTAATAATAGAATGTACATGCTGTTTTCATTTTGTCCTAATTTTATAATTATACATATATACTATTACACTGTACTATTATACTTATAAACTTTTATACTGAATTTTTTTTTAAGATATTGAACTACCTAATACAATTAAAATTAATTACTTTATTTATGATA